ATATATATATATATATATATATATGAATCCTCCAATTTAACAAGTTCGTGAATTGAAACATACTCTATTCTAACTTCATTCTAGGTGGCGACTCAACAGATGGTCGAGAGTTCATTATAGTTTTTTTGCAGACTATAGTAATAGAAAAAGATCCTACACTCATCGTTGCGACGACCGACAACAATTGCGTCGTTACAGTGGTGATTCCAAAAATTTTCTATTTTCGAACATACGAAGTTGCCGCACGAACAAAACTAGAAATAGCCATACCAAAATCGATAATACCGAAAACAGACGGCTTAGACAATTTGGGTATTCTCATCAAAAGCACTGCTGATATTTCATTATGGGGTATGCACGATGCAAGTAGTAGATCGGGAGACGGGTTTCTTGCACTTCCAACTAAAATACTAGGTCGTGAGTATTTTGGCGTTTCGTACAAGCCCTTTTCTGGAGCAGAGCTTGGAGTGGTCGGTATTGACGATGGTACTACAGTAATGATTACATATGATCACCCGTACACGTTTGGCGACCGAAATATTATTGCCAATTATCCACTGAAAGTTAAACTGGATAGATTTGAAACAATGTTTATTAATTCACATAATGACATAACCGGCATTCACATCGAATCAAGTGCGCCAGTCGCTGCCTTCTCCGGAAATCAATGCGCTTTTATACCATTTTCATCTGGTATTTGTAATCATATTGTTACACAGTTGGTACCCTTTGAAAGATGGGGAATGACATATGTTGTTACACCATTCTTTGGACACATTGATTATGTTGTAAAAGTCATTACAGGACGTTACAGTTCAACTGTCAGCGTAGGTGGAAGGCAACATGTGCTGGAAAAAATGACATCATTGACCTTAAATCTGACGTCTAGCGAAGTCATCACAGCTGCCCGTCCTGTACTGGTAGTTCAGTTTAGTTTTGGCATGACGCTCGACAACGGAAATAGTTATCCGACGATGCTACTGGTTCCAGCAATGCAACAATTTACAAATGATGCAGTTATTGCTACATTCTCAGACTACCACCCATCATTGCATTACCTTAATCTTGTTGCAACATGCTACGACTTAGAAAAACAGTATATTCTTATTGATGAAGCTCAGATTGAGTTTGTTAAGAAGGAGGTATATGTTGATGGTATTGCGCATTGTATAAGTCAAATGCTTCTTAACACAAGTTACAGTAGGATTACAACAATCAAACCAAACGTAACGTTTTCTGCCATCATACATGAACGCACAAAGATGTTTTCAACTACAAGAGCTGCCAAACTTCGATTAACGAACACAACCTGTTCTACTACTAATAAATATGGAGTCACTCTGGCTCATAACTGTGACGAAAAAGTTGTCATCTTCACTTACGCCTGTCCGGAGCCTTGTCCTGACAAAAAAGAAGAAAATTATTGTGGACCTTGCATAGATGGGCGTAAGTAACACTGGACTTATTATGTGCAGTATGAATAGTCAGACAACAATGAAGCTAGTATTATAGATCTCAAATTCCGTAATTAAAGGTTGCATTAGTTTGTTAAGACTGTGATGCATTTATAAGCAAATTATACTAAAAGTTGGTGCAAACGTTTATCGTACGGTTGCGCCTAAATCCAAGTGGTTAAAACAGAGAGTAGAATGGAAAGAGGTCCGACTCATGGACTTTCTTTGAAACGCAGTCCAAACTCGAAAAAGTACTACCACGAATAAGAGGGCGTCCTTCAAAGAGATGATATCAATTACACCGTATATAAGTTTCTATCTATGGCTCTGGCGATAGAGCCTACATGTTAGAGTCGTTCGACCGTCTGTGGTGAATAGTGCAAAAAAATAGTTCTGATGACTCTGGCTAAGACTCTACCATACCCGCTCGCTTCGTTTTAAGGATTTTTATATTTTGTTTTACCCTCTCGGCGAATATGTGGGGCGAAAATGCAGATAAATATCCCGGTGAGAGCATAGCAGTGGGGTTGCTCCAGAAATTTGCCTACAAGGCATCGCATCGCCTCACCCCCCCCCCCCACCACCACCGTCAGGCAAATCCTGGCGTCACCCTGCACAATATTAGGATTAGCAATCAAAATAACATTATTTGATAGGCAAATTAAACTTTTTAAATTCTTGATCTGACGACCTTGTCATAGCGTCAGATAACAGGGGTTCCAGGCCTGTCTAACGGGGGAAAATGCACTCCCTGTCTGTTGCGTAACGCGTCAAAAAATATTCTAGTGTGAACCAAATTTGTCGGTTCGAATGTTTCCTGAGTTTACGTAACGTAATTAAAGTAGGCACAGTAAGAACTTGAATCTACAATCCAGGTTTTCTTTTTAAAATAAGAAATGTCTAATATTCGTTTCCGTTTTGTTTAAGATCTAACAGTAATATGCTACGCGATTAAGTTATTCTGCGGAAAATATTTTTAAATTTTTGGAATGTTTATTCTATGTATTCAGCATATAACCAATACCCTTTAACAAGTGTATTGGTAACAAATCTTTTTCGTGCGAGGCGCCACTCTTATGGAATAACCTTCCAGTGCATATTCGATCTTCAGCATTTGTGGCTGTCTTTAGGTCTAACTTAAAGACTCATCTCTTTAACTAATTATCCCATTTTTATTCATATTTTTATTTTTATTGTTGCATTATTTACTCATGTTTACAAGCTTTGCCACTCCTTCTTTTGATTTGTTTACTTGTTCTGTGCTTGGGTTAGGCAATGATCACGGCTGCTTGTGGGTTGTGAGGTGCCTAAATATGTGGGGTGCAGCGCTTCGTATCTGCAAAGAAAGGCTACAAATGTTCTGATTGGATTGGATTGGAAATATATAAATAAATAAATAAACAAACGTACCGTCGTAAAATATATCATGCATCAGACATTGCATTTGTATTTATAGTTGTATATATGATTGTATCTTAGTTGCTGTATTTATTGTGATGTTTTTGTCATCTGGACTCACAATATGTGTGGAACAATTTGTACGGTGTTGCCGGGCAGCATGTCAAGACGAATGGTAAGTTGTCTCGAATTTATATAGGCCTACATCTTTAAAATGTGTCAGTATAAACACACTTACCGGTAGTTAAAACATTAAGATATTCATCTGAATGAGTGCCCAGTCGCACTACAGATTGTGTCTCAAGGTACAGTCAGAGTCTATAATCAGCTGTCTGTTTCTACTATTCATGGACTAGTACGGCTACTCAAAATTACAACTTAGATAATGTTTAAGTTTGTAGGCATATATAATTTAGCTGTACGTTTATAAAGCCCCAGTCGATTGGTTTCACGTTTTGAACA